AGTTATGTCGGTTACTCTTGTTTTTTTACGGATATCCCCACATTTTTCGTTTTTTTTTTAAATATATAAATTATGGTATAGTTATATATATGGTATGTTATATATTAAGTATTTTTTTCATTTACCACTGGTTCGAAAAATACCTCTGTCCTGGGAAGACCCAGCAAGAAACCCAGCGGGACATTTTTAAAACATATATCACTTTACAATAATTTTATTTGTACAATTTTAAATGAATTTTAATAGAACCAGCATGGTTGCGATCACCTCATTCCCATGGGTTATTTTCATTACGTATTCTTTCATATTATAATAACACTTTTTGCATAATTTTTATTTAATAAAACATTTAAACTTGTTTATTGACAAATTTTGTACATTTTCTGGTATTTTGTGTTAAAAGCATATGCATTGCCTCATTTTTTTTATTTTTTTTTACAGAATAGGGTGACAAACGAGCACACTGTCCACCTGATGGTAAGTAGTTGCTGCAGCCCATAGACATCTACATCTATCCTCCATTAAAAATCAAAATGCAGATGCGTTGTCATGCGTGAGGATGGAATGCCTCGTTTCCAGTAAAAAGGGTATCCGGTTCTCTACACTTACCATACGAAATACAGCAGCATTAAACTACTATTTTACGCTGGTATTCTGTGAGAGCGTGGTCCTTCCCCGGTCGAGCCGACCCATTCGTGCTACAACTATACTACTAATATAACTGCATAAATTAATTACTAATTATGTGGAAAAAAATGCATGATCGCGGAGAAGTTTTTGGCCAAAAACGTCTCCATGGACGCCATGTGCGTTCAAGTACTGGTCCATGAACGCACATGGACTTGGAAAAGGCCTATGATAGAGTGGATAGGGATGTGCTGTGGCAAACACTGAACTCATTTGGGTTGAGCGCTCTCTTGATACGGGCTTTGGAGTCTCTTTATAGAGACTCTAGTGCTTGTATTAGGATCAACGGGGTATACTCGGACTGGTTTGGCATCCATAAAGGTGTCAGACAGGGCTGTGTGGTTTCCCCGTGGCTGTTTATCCTATTTATGGACAGTTGTTTGCAAAATTTGAAAATTGAAGAATGCGGATTAAGAATGGATGAGTTAACCGTCAAATGCCTTCTGTACGACGATGATCAAGTTATTCTTGCGTCATCGGCGGCCGAGTTGCAAATGACGGTTACATTAATTAACAGATCACTAAAAGAAAGGGGTATGAAAGTTAACGCAATTAAGATGAAAGTTATGGTTTTTGAAAGAGAAGAAAGTAAAACGATATGTGAAATAAGAATAGAAGGGGAGTTGATGGAGCAAGTAGATGAGTTTGTATATTTGGGTATCGTATTTAGCAGGGATGGAAGATGTGATAAGGATATAGAACGACGAGTGAATGCAGGAAATAGAGTAAATGGAGCCCTACACTCTATTGTGAAGAGTCAAAATGTGTCGAAAAAGGCACGTATGGCAATTCACAATGCTATTTTGGTCCCTACTTTGACGTATGGTAGTGAAAGTTGGGTGTGGCAGAAGAAGCACGAGAGTAGAATGAACGCAGTAGAAATGCGGTCATTAAGAAGTGTGTTAGGGCTGAATCTGAATGACAGGGTGAGAAATTATGTGATAAGAGAAGAGTGTGGTTTGCAAGATGATGTTGTGACCAGGATTAAAAAAGGAATGCTTCGGTGGTTTGGTCATGTGGAAAGAATGAATGAGGAAAGAATGACAAAGAAAATTTAGGTTGCAGAATTGACTGGCAGAGTCGGAAAGGGACGTCCTAGGCGAAAATTTATCGACCAAATTGGCGATTTATTGAAAACGAGCCAAATTAGGAGCACCCTTAACCGACGAGCATGTATGCGTAGGTATATGGATGTGAAGGAGGCGAGAGAGGTGTGTCCAGGATCGTGCCAAATGGAAGTCTGTAGTCTCTGCCTACCCCTCTGGGTGACAGGCGTGAGTGTTTATGTTATGTATTATGTAATTCTGTGAAGTCTAGTAACTGATATTACAAGCTTATATTTATTCCTAGGGTTTAAAGTATGAACACATTTATTATTAACAAAGTTATTTATGTTTTTATGTACATACAATTACATTTTCGTAAATGTATTGCGATGCCAAAGTCAATATGTTTATTTTTTTTCTCTAATGAACTCTTTACAATTTAAGTTATAAATTGCCCGTATCTCTCTCTTTTGCAAAAGAATTATGGCTTTTATATCAGTTGCATTACCCCATAGCGAAATTACATAGGATATAACGCTATGAATGTAACTAAAATAAACTAATCTAGCTGTGTCATCAGTGGCTATAGCAAACTCTTTTACAATAAATTCATTTTGCTATTTTTAAATCCTTAAAGACCTATGATTACTATATTGCTATTCATGATGCTTTCTTAACGATATTATGCAGTAGTTTGTACTCGAATATACTATCTTTTAAAATCAAACAAAAATAGCTGCCTAATCCGGTATTTCTTGGTCTGATTTCAACTCTCATAGTACAGTAAGAATAGACTTAACTTAACTTTTCATTAACTTACTTAACTTTACTTTACTTACTTAACTTTGCACTAAATTTCCGATCCAATTTTTATTTTGTAAGGTTTAGGATCACTTACTAAGTATAAAATCACAAAATGCTGACGGATCCAGGTGGCGTTCCAAACGCCATCCTGAAAAATGTTTTCAGACGATATCTTGGGAACTGTGCATTTTAAGACAAAAATTATAAAAAACTGTTATTGTAGAAAATACTGTACTCTACCTGTCTGTCTACCTGCCTGTCAGAGCTAATCTTCGGAATGGTTGAACTGATTGTGATGATAACTTACATATAGAGAGCAATGCCAGGAAGGTTTGAGGCTATATTTCATTCAGAAAATTGAAGATATTTGTGGTAAAAAGAAAAATGTATTAAATAAATTGTCTATCCAGACGAAGTCAGGGCGGGTTGCTAGTTAGAACATTTTGAGAAGAAATTGAGGCATGATAATAATGTTTTACTATCGTCTACGTAATATTCTACTTCCTTATATAAACACCCTCAGAGAAAATTGTAAGAATTCATTAAAATTTCTCGTTTAGTCCCTAAGGCCGAGAATTTTGAGGGTCTCTGAGGCAAGTTTTTGCAATTAATACTATATTTATCGGTTCATATATAGTTTTGGTAATTTACGTAGTTAAATTTTATGGACGATATTTACAAATTCATCATATACAACCTATCAAAAGTCTACTGTTGAACATAGGCCTCTAGGGATATTGCCAATAAACGAAGTGGAATATTTGAAATAGTTGTCACGCTTGGTATAGGGGTTGAAAACCGCAGTTTTTTTATTGAGTTGTTATCTGAAAGATGTTGTTGCCCATCCGCCCTCATGTCACCTCTAACACCACCACTACTCGACAGCTTAAGAGTATCTAAAAATTTATTGTAAATATATAAAATAAGTATCTCTTTATTTGTCCCGTATATTATGTGTCCTCCATTACTATACCATTTATCCGATCACGATGAAAATTTTGCGAGTTTTAGAGTACACGCCCGCAAAAGTTTCTTATGACAAAAATAATTGTTTCACAAAGGCATTGCAATGCATGCTGGGCACAGACGAATGTGTTTGCTTGGCCGGTCAAGAATCACGCTCTCTCAGAATACCAGTGTGAAGCAGCCTTTTTTACTGAAAAAAGTTTTTTTTTAACGAAGCATTTCATCAAAATAGAGATAAACGAAAATGTCTATGGACCACAGCATTCAATTCCCATCACGTGAACTGTGTGCTCGTTTTTCACCCTTATTTTATAAAAAATCAGTGGCAGCTCAACTGTAAAGAAATACACCGTGAAGAGACCTGCACGTTTCAGGAATTTAAAAAAAAATCTGGAAAATGTGAAGTCTCTACTACAAAATGTGAAGAACTCTATAAAAATTTTTATCAACTACGGCCAATTCAATATTTAACAACATGTTATTAGTATTAATAACAATAATTTTATTAAAGAAAAAAATAATCTATAATTCTACATCCTAGATAATAAATGTATTTATCTCAATTTTCTTGTTTAATTTGTAAATAAGGCAAAAAAGACATACTTATAGGTATAACGATGCTGTGTGTTATTCATGCGTAACATTTCGATACCTTAATTGGCAAACCAGCTAACTCCATACGAGCAAGTTTTTTCAGGAGACACTTAAAACTGTATAATATTTTTTGTAGATTACTTACGAAAAAATCTAAAACACCGTTCGTAGATATTATCGTAAATTGTTATTTTTAATACTGTAAAACCCTTTATATGTTTTCGTTACAATACTACAGCGTTTTTAGGAGTTATCCGTTTTTCCTTTCTTGTTAAAGTATGTGAGCTAGGAGTTAGCTGGTTTGCTCGATAAATTAATTTTAAATAAAAGTTTATTTTTCTTTTTTAAGTTTTAATTATAAGATATGTTAATACACTTAATAATAATCAAATAATGTTAAATATAGGTACACTATTTTAGGCTTCATGAGGAAGGTTGTCATAATAGTTTTGGTAATCTCTTGGCATTGAGCTCTTTAATTGCTGTAAATCTAAGAACTTTTTTTTTGTAATTTTCCTGCGTTCGTTGTATAGGTTAGGTATATTATTAAAAGGAATGTTGTTAATTCGGGCATTCCTGCGCTGGTTGAGTAATTTATATTCATCAGTTAATTTAAGTTTATAAAAAATTTCTCCAGAGGGTGCATACTTAAGAGCTCGTATGTCGGTAACCTGTAAAAGAGAAACAGAACTTATCGTATCGATCCAATATAGTAGCAATAATAATTAATAAAATTTAAGTAATTTATGTACCTTAGGGTCGCCCTTCATTTTTCCTGGTCTTATGGAGGTGTAAAATTGTAAATTTTTAAAATTCTTGAAGTAAGAATAGTTTAGGTATTCGACTGTGTACGGTTTTGATTTTTTTGCATTCTTACAAATGGTAATGTACTCGGCTGGAACATTAATTACTTGATTTTTTAGTTTTTTTTTCAATCATTGCGTGCATACTGTCAACCTCCATTTGGGTGTGGCCTAGTTCCAAATATTTTTGCTCAATTGTAACATTATTCAGCATAGCTATGTTGAGGAGAGCATTGCTTAAAGTAACGTTTCTATTTTGATACGTACACCCATCCGTGTACAAAGTTATGAATCTGTTGTTATCTCCCATTTTTGGGACCACTTTATTCATAAAGAAATTGGTTAAAATCGTTGCAAACTCATCAGAATTAAGCCCACCTTCGGCCTCATTCCATAGAAAGCAATACCCATCGCTAGTTTTCATGTCATAAATACACCAGTTGTGAACACACAGCTTAGTCTTGTAGTAATTTGAAGACACATAGGATCGCGGTGCTAAAAGCACTGCTTGGAGATCTGCAGTAAAGACAAATTCCTTTTTTTCTTTATCAGATTCTTTTTCCATTCTCGCTTCGTTCTTTTTATTTACATGCTCTTCGTAAGTCTCTTTAGTAATATGGCCCATCTTGTATCCGTTACAGATGTCACACAAATCTTTCTTCGGTTTGAATAAAGCTATTTTTTGTATGGTTAGGGTATTTGTAAAAGTGGCAATAGATAGTGTTTTTTTGTTTTTTGACTCACAATAATCTTTATACATTTTATAAAGTTGCTGTTTGGATGATATGTCTGGTTGTATGTATGTCTGTGTTGTCCTTTTTCTACAATAATGTGAAGGCATTTTGGGTAAGTCATCTAAAAAGTCCTGTAAAGTTTTAATTTCTTGGTCGAATGGATTTCTGTGAGTACTTTCTGGTAATTGTTCATCAGTATTCTTTCCACCAACTTCAACCTTCCAACCCCAGATACATGATTTACCGATAGAGAAGGTATTAAGAAATAACGTTTTACAGACTCTTATCATATCTTCACCTTTTTTTAGGTAGTAAATAAAAGTGTTAACTCTTTTAGATTTTTGAGGGTCTTTCCTATCTCTTTGCCTATTTGTATGTAAAACTTTTACTAAATTATCCACGTAAACTCGTTTTTCATCCCAAGTCATATTCCAAAACTTATCAAATAATATTTTTCTGTCATCTTCAGAAATACTATGACACTGAATAACACTATTTCTCTTTTCCTTACAACTGCACCGGGGTTTCAACACCTTTTTTGGTTTCTTTATATTTTTTTTCCACTCTCCATCAACTTTTTTCTTACCGCAATATTCTTTTACCCTTTTCTCTATTCTTTTTATTAATTTCACTAGTCCATTCTTCCTTCTTTACTTGACACCTTTTCTTTCTATTTTATAACCGGTTCTTCCGATTCTGAATCAGTATCACTGTAATCGACTAATTTATTTATTAATTCAGGACAGGCAGTTGGGGTTAGGTAGGTAGGTAAGTTAGGAGGTATAGTTTCATGAGCTGTTAGTTTTTCTTGTATCAAAGGAACGGCCAAATCGTCATCCGATTTATCATTACTTGTACAGAGGTACGATTGAGATGGTTCAAAACTATTAGAGGCATTTTCAGAATTGTAGATAAGTGATGGAGTAAGACGAAGAGGTAGAACTTGAACCGAGTGAGAACTTGGACTGAGTTGTTCTGTTTCAAGCGGAAATATGTCTTCAATAACAACATTATTCACTATTTCATATGTCTGCGTATTAGAACATGTTTGGTTATTGAAACTTTTACTGTTAAACGATTCAGGGTTATATATGTACTCTACGCCAGGCTTTTCATTTTCAATATAATCAATGTAGCCATTATCAAAGAAAGTCGATGAAGCAGAATTAGAAGCTACGCTATCATGCTCAACCAAAGCGTCATACGGATTTGGAAATTGGTTATTAACAAATAAAACAGAGTTATTGGTTTCATTAAGCTCATGCTGTTCATTTTGCATGCTTATTTGCAGTATTTTTTTAGCTCGTGAGTGGGACATCTGCATACAAATTAAAAAAAAAACATCACCATAAGCACAAAAATGAGCCAAAATGATAAAAAATATCAATTTTACTTTAAAAGTAAAGTTATATAAAAATATCAACATTAAAATTTAATTACTTTTTAACAAACATAAAAACGGATAACTCCCAACACTAGTGTGAAAAATTAAGAAGCAAATCAGCCGACTCCTAGCCAGTATTAAATCTTAAAATTACATCAATAACTAGCGCTGTTTTGTGAAAAAGTAAATAAGTATCCATACCTTGTATTAATGTTCAACTATTTTTCAATACTACCTTTCCTTTTGTCGCGTTTTAATAATTTTCTTCAACAAAACGTAGGGCGGTAACCGTACACGACTCGAACGCCATACAAAATGGCCGACTTAGTGGAGTTGGCTGTCAAAATCGTAACTTTCCGTACAACATGGAGTTGGCTGATTTTCTAATAGCGATTTATGTAAAGAATTGTGATCATATCGGAGTTGTCGTTTTTGCAAATCACGACGAACTACTGTTGCGTACAATTTATACCAAAATATTTTTTTGACTAAATGTGGAGTTGGCTGGTTTGCCAATTAAGGTATCGATTTGATATGTCAAGTGTCACCTTTGATCTCTTTACACTGTGCCAAAAATAAGAGTAAGTACACTTGTATCTTCTGATTTACCAGAAAAATATCATTCTTATTCAAAATGATGATAATACTAATTACTCATAATAAAAATTATTTTATTAATGAGCTACTAACGAGATTAGTTAATCTCGTTAGTAGCTCATTAATAAAATAATTTTTACGCAAACTATATATTAACTGATTTTTAGTGTTTTTAATTATATTTTAAACAATTTTTAAATCGTTCAAACTATTCTATTCTGGTCACGGCCTCTTCTGGTTTCATAAATATCTCAACCAATATTTCATTTTTGGAAAAATTAAGAAATCGGTCTTGTTCGCAGTATGCGCCGAAACATTTTCACGGTGAAATAGTATGCGATTGCTTAGTCGTTTTTGCCTAACTTTTTCAAAGACACTGTGCATGCAAATGATAATACAGTATAATAGCACTCAACACATAAAGACTTTTGTTCATCAAGTGGGATCGTGCAGACAGGCAAGACAGGAAAATGTTTTCTCTGATGTCTTCGTCCAAAGTTCAAATTGTAAGCAATTTAGATCCCAATTTCATATGCCTGTGTACCACTTGAATAGCGAAATGTGGAGAAAGCTATACCTGCATGAAATAAAATATTTCAAAATCACGATATGAATCATTGCACCACCGGTTCCAGTTTGTCCATCCAACAATTCTATCTTAATAATACTGTATTACGGCGACGTCAGAGCATTGATTACCAAATATAGGAGCTCTAAGGCTACTAAATACTATCATCCAGAGAGTATCTATCCTAAGACGCGACAGGGGGTAATGCAGCGGGAAAAAGGCAGTGTTATCTTCGTGATAAAAACTCAAAAAAACTGCCAAGAGAGCGGTCTACGGCAAATATGAGGTAAGGCAAATGGATCATTGATAGGATGTTATGAATGAACGAATGATGTATAATACGTTCGTAATCGATTGATTGATTGTCGTTGTGCAATGACAACACAGCAAAACCGTGGGCATTAGAGCAGCTGCATTTATAGCAGCAGCATTTATACTATTGTACCAGTGCCCCCTGTGCAAGTTCCGTGAAACAAACTCGGTTTGGACATTACGTTATATCTACAAATCTGAATAAATAAAATATTTTAAGTGGGTGTTTGATCAATGTGTACAGTTTACTTTTGCTGTTAAACCAAAATAAGGTTAGATAAAATTTGGCAGAATTTAAGTTGATTTTTAGTGGTGGCCTTTTTAACGATATATTTTAACAAACCAAGATAGTGCAAATATCCACCTTATTTAAATAAGGTTTTGTTTAAACATGTTTTGATTTACGCTTATTGGTATTAATATATATTCTTTGAACTGAATTAATTTATTTTTAATTTTCTATGTCATACACAACTTTACCGACAACATTTTAGTTCAGCAAACGTTACATGGCCTATCGAATGCAAAACACGGCACCAACTTTGTGAAAGAAGGCAGATAACAATAACATAGCTACGATTATCTTATTTTATACCATATAAAATGCATGCAGAGTTCGACTACAATAATTTTGTTCTTATTTTAAGATCCCCTTAATGCTTGTATTTACTCTGAGTGTACATCACATGCGAGTCAGATTGAAATTTTGTAAGCTTTCTTTTGAATTACAAGACATTAAAGCAGAATACACATCGAAATGGATTAAGCACCATTCCAAGAAACTCCTTTAATTAAATTATTTAATTATTTTATTTTGCCTGAATGCTTTCCTTATACTCCAATTCAACTTTATTTTAGTACTGTGTCCGTATAGAAATATTTTAACTTTAGTTGGAATATAATTCTGCAAATATAAAATTCAGTTCTTCGATACGAAACGGTTATATATATAGTCAGATAATAGTCCTGATCTAGAAACGGCAAAACGTATATTAAATCCCGATACCATCCACACCATCTGGATGCTTAGCGGTCGCCCAATGTACGTTTCACAAGGAGTTTTCTTCCGCGTACGACCTCTCTGTGCAATAGTTTACCACCGGCGATTTTTCCGGACCGATACGACCTGGGGACCTTCAAGAAAAGAGCTTACTCCTTTTTAAAAGGCCGGCAACGCACCTGCAGTTCCCCTGGTGTTGCGGTTGATCATGGGCGGCGGTAGTTACTTATGTGGCGGCGCTGTCGCCGAAGCCTAAATCACGCTATCAACATTCCGAATCATAAACAGCATATATAGAACATCTCCGAACTATCACACGGAGCGTTGGCCGCTCCCCGGGCAGGACACCTTGCCCGGCGGGAGATCTCCTCTTTTCCTTCTACGGCCATAGTGGTGACCCCGACGTGATCTGAACACGCAACCAAACACCTTCGGAACCTACAACTTCAAGCCTTCGTCATTATCCTCAAGAACCCCTACCATTCACTACTGAGAATCGTCTTATGCAGTCTTCAGTTCCTGCAAGCCAGTCCAACTTGTCTTCATCTCGACTCACCGCAGATTTATAAGGCAGACTTCTGGTACTTGCTCCGGCACATCGTTCTCACCGGCATCACTTGCCAGTGCGTATGGTACGGCGTGCATTACACATCCTATCATTCGCACCGGTGTCACTTGCCCTTACGCACACAGCATGCATTCCCCACCGGCATTAAGGACGCACCGGCAATCGGACTGCACTATCGACCTCTGCACTGAGCAGGGGGGTAATGTTGCGGCACTGTCGTCGCGCCGCAAGCAGAACATACCGAAGCTAAAATCACGCTATCAACATTCCGAATCATAAACAGCGTATATAGAACATCTCCGAACTATCTATCACACGGAGCGTTGGCCGCTCCTCGGGCAGAACACCTTGCCCGGCGGGAGATCTCTCCTTGTCCTTCTACGGCCACACTTAACATCGGGTGAGCCGCATGCTCCTTTGCCTCCTCATATCATCATCATCATTACAGCCCTTCACAAGTCCACTGCTGAACATAGGCCTCCCCCAAGGTATGCCACAAAGCACGGTCCTGAGCCACCTGCATCCATCGACTTCCTGCATGTCTTACCAGGTCGTCACTCCATCTAGTGGGGGGTCGCCCTACACTACGCCTACCGGTACGAGGCTGCCACTCGAGAACCTTTCTTCCCCATCGGTTATCGGTTCTTCGAGCTATATGGCCGGCCCATTGCCACTTCAGCTTACTAATCCGTTGGCCTATGTCGGTCACTCTGGTTTTACTGCGGATATCCTCATTTCTGAGTCTATCACGCAGTGAAACTCCGAGCATAGCCCTATCCATAGCTCGCTGAGCGACGTTGAGCGTCCTCATACGGCCAGCGGTGAAGGACCACATCTCAGATCCGTAACTCATCACAGGCAACACACACTGGTTATACACTTTAGTTTTCAGAGATTGAGGTATACCTGACGAGAAGATGTGTCGTAATTTCCCGAACGCTGCCCAGCCGAGTTGAATCCATCGATTGACCTCTCGGTCGAAGTTGGACTTACCTAGTCGGACTATTTGTCCCAGATAAACGTACTCGTCAACAACTTCGAGCATAGTGCTCCCAACAACTACCGGCATAGGTGTGACATGGACATTAAACATGATCTTTGTTTTGTCCATGTTCATCTTAAGACCTATCCGTTGGGAGACACCATTGAGGTCATTGAGCATAGTGCTAAGGTCCTCCAGCGACTCTGCCATAAGGACTATATCGTCGGCAAATCGAAGATGAGTGATGTGTTCGCCATTGATGTTAATACCGTATCCTTTCCAGTCCAGTAGCTCGAAAACGTCTTCCAACGCAGCGGTGAATAGTTTCGGGGATATAAAGTCACCCTGTCTTACACATCTCTACAGTTGGATAGGTTCCGAACTCTGGTTCTGTACTCGGATAGCCATCGTAGCCCAACTGTACAAACACTTCAGCACTTCAATATACCGACAGTCAACTAGGCACCGCTGAAGAGACTGTAGCACCGCCCAAATTTCGACGGAATCAAAGGCTTTCTCATAGTCCACATACGCCAGGCAAAGTGGCAGATTGTACTCTTCGGACTTCTGTACAATTTGCCGAAGGGTATGTATGTGGTCTATGGTACTGAAGCCTTTTCGGAAACCGGCTTGTTCGGGAGGCTGGAAGTCGTCGAGTCTGCGTGCGAGACGATTCGTAATGACTCTCGAAAACAGCACGTAGACGCGGCTCAGAAGGAAAATCGGTCTGTAGTTCTTCAAGAGAGCGTTGTCGCCTTTCTTAAAGAATAAGACCACCGCGCTTCTGCTCCACGCCTCTGGAGTAGTGCCACCATGGAGGACGGAATTGAAGAGCTTCTGAAGGACTTCAAGTACCGGTGTTCCACCC